GCTTGCGAAGCCCAAGCCCAAGGCGAAGCAACGAGGAAGACGAGGACGACTACCTCGCAGGTGGCGGCCGCACGGAGGAGGCGGAAGAGAAGTATTAAGGCGAGGAGGAGAGAGAGCCGATGAGAGCCAGGGAGAGGGATAGGAGGATGAGGAGGAGGAGGCGGAGGAGGAGGAGGCGGAGGAGGAGGAGGGGGAGGGGGGAGGGGGATGGGGAGGAGTAGGAGGAGTAAGAGGAGCGGGAGGGAGGCACGACGAGGAAGACGACGCGGTCGGGGAGGAGAAGGGGCGAATCATGACGAGGGGAGGCGAGTTGGAGGAGGGGTGAGTGGAGGAGGATGGAAGACAAAGGGATAGGAAGGATGAGCAGGAAGGAGCAATAGTAAGGATGGTCAGCGGCTGGTTCAAAGCGATGCCGCCAAGCGATCTGAGGGCACGGTGTTCCCGCTGCGGTGAAGTGCTGGTCTGCGAGGGCACGTAGGTAGGGGTTGTGGCCAAGCGTGGACTGGGCACCGACCGCCAGGACGAGGGTTGGCAGACTCGCAGAATGCATAGCTTGGGCCAGAGTAGCTGCCGGCTGGGACCGTCCTTCTCGGTTCCGCCTTGCTCCTGTGTTGTGCCCGTGCGTTGTCGGCAAGAGGTCGGCAGTCAGATCGCTGTTCGCCTCTTCGATGCACTGCCCTTCCAGCTCTGTCAAACTGGGGCTGAAGTGGATGGGGTCGGAGGATCGCGCCGCATCGCTGATGTATCGCCGATGCATCGGCGACGTTTGCGATGCAACGGCGACGTCGGCGTGGAACACATCGGGATCTAAAGCGAGCTGCATTGCCGATACATCGGCGATGCGGCGCGATCCTCCGACCTTTGGACCCTGTCTGGGAGGGCTCCAGAGACCCGTTTACCTCACCACTGGCCTCGTTCACCCAACAAACGAGTGCCAGGGAGTGGCTTGAGGGTCCCACAGACACAGTAAGGAGCTCGAGCCAGACTTTCTTTTGGCACGTCGGTTCGGCGTCAGTGTGGCATACAACGGGATACCATCGTACCATGTGCGATGTTTCGCTGCTTGGTGCGTTGTGCCACGCTGTGCAGGTCGGTCCGTGTGTTTTGCCTGAGACGTTGCCACGGTGCTCCTGATCGTGACTGTCACCGCCCAGTGCCTTCCAGGGCTTCCTAAAAGAAACCGCGGCAAACGGATGGCAGGTAGTCGGAAATTGCACATCGCTCCCTCCTCTCCTCTCACCCCTTACGATGCAACCCCTGGGAGGTTTGATTCAGCATCGGAGCTGGTACTATGTCCGTGGCACAACAGCGACCCAATCAGGCGCAATCCAGCTTGGTCCTGGTCGATCCCGCGTAATCCGGCTCAGTCCAGCTCAACCCTGGGCATAATTTGGTCTACTCTGGCCCAAAGGCCCCTTTTTATCGGGCTCTCAGAAGATGCTTCCGCAAACCCCATCACTTCCACTGATCCGTCCTCCCCACGAGCGCAGAAGAGACAGCTGCGACCGCTGGACCTAGGGAACCGTCCGAGGAGTAGCGGCATCGGTACAGTTTGGTCTCCCCAGCTCCACCTCCTTCTCCTCCCTCCTCCTCCTCCTCCTCCTCCTCCTCCTCCTCCTCCTCCTCCTCCTCCTCCTCCTCCTCCCCCTCCTCCTCCTCCTCCTCCTCCTCCTCCTCCTCCTCCTCCTCCTCCTCCTCCTCCTCCTCATCCTCCTCCTCCTCCTCTTGGTGCCCCTCCCCATGAGGCCGAGCCCGACCCCCAGCGGTGGTGACCCTCGCGCCGCACCTGAGATCGGGCGCCGCGTGCAGGTCATCGCCGCTGCGGAGCCCGGGTTGGCCTCGGGGGGTCGCCGAAGGCGGGTTGCCTCGAGCCAGCGGCTGTGGTTGTCTTGTCTTCGCTCCTGATCTGTTCGCTTGCGTAAGCTGCTTCAGGGTCTCTTTGAGTATCGGCGGCGCGCCCAGGGGGGAAGGCGGAGGGGGCGGCCTTCTCAGAAGGCTCAGAATGCTTCTCGGCCTTCTCGGAGGCTTCCTGAGCCATCCACGAAGCCCCGCCGCCTTCTCCGAAGGCCTGCCTCCTTTCACTTCCCCATCGGCGCGCCGCCGATAGTGACCGTCACGTTCGCCATGCAACTCCCCAGCTCCTCCTCGCTTCGGTCGGGACCTTCATCCCTCCCCCCCGGGTGGCTTCTACAGTCAACCCGCATGGCCCTGCCTCCTCGGTACATGCTTGGCCGCTTTCGCTGGCCGTGCCCCGCTCGGCAAGCTCCGAACTGGCCTTGCAAGGCCCTTGCATAGGATTCGGGAGAGAAAAAGCGGTAAACATAAACTTTTAAAGGTCTTTCCGCCATCGCACAGCACCCTTGGGCGGGGCGGTAGTCTGGGGTCGTCCATTGCTCGTGTTGTACTTGCTCTTGTGTTGCGCGCAGCCTAGATTGTGCCGATGTCATCCGGGCGTTCATGTTCCGACCTGCTTCAGCCTTGACCACCAGGTAAAACTTCGAGGACCAAGAAATTATCGATCCCTATCGCGCATCCTCATGATACGGGCAGGCTGTAGGCCTGGCCGGCTCGGGTGTGTGTTGGCCCAGGCCGGTGCGCTCCCGACGGCCCCACCGCGCCCTTAGAGTGCTCCCATATACGCAGGGGCTCCACGTCCGGGAGGAGCCGGAGAGCGGCGTGGAGTGGGGAGGGGGAGGCCAAGGCCCCCTCGAGTCCTCCCTCCTTCCTTCTCTCGGCCCGGACGCAAGGGGGGGATTGATTGGGAAAGGGGGGGTTACGAAATCTGCTGCATGCAGCTGGTTTCGGCCCCACCGAGGGGCCCATTCCTGGATACATAGCCGCCTCCCGGCGCCGGGAGGCGCCGGGAAAATCAGCTACGTGAGCTGATTCTCAAGCCCCCCCTTTGCTATCCCCCCCTTTCGCCCGACCCGATCCTCCTCCGCCTCCTCCTCCCGGTGCAGTTCCCGTTGCCTCTGGTGCGGCGCTCTGTGCTGTTGAGCGGTGCGCCCCACGGGTGTCCGGCGGCACGCCCTCCGCGCCGGCAGCACGCGCCAGGTCCGCGTCCCTAGTGTCCCTCTCGCGCTGGATGGACGAGGAGGGCTCGAGTAGGGGATCCACCACAGAATTGGTTTACCCCAAACTTTATTCGTTCGTCGAATCTAGTAAGGGTACATCAATTCTGCAGTCGATCCTCTACTCGAAGGGTGGGTGTGGGGGCGCCCCTTGTGCTGCCGCTGCAGCTCCCGCTCCTGTCGCCGCCGCGGCTGCCGCTCCTCCTTCCCCTCCTTGCTGCCGCCCCCAGCGCCCACCTCCCTGGGTTGCGGTTTGCTCCTCCGCCTCCGCCGGGCGCTTCCGCAGTGGTAGTGGGACTCTATTGGGCTCGGAGTTCGTCGGGCACGTGGGGAAATCTGGACGCTGCGCCCGCCTCCCATCGGTTCAGTAGAATCGACGGTTGGTGGGGGTACAATATGGACGTCGCCACTTATCAAGGCCAGGAAAGGCCTGCTGCGCAGCAGAAAGCAAGGGGCCGCATCACTAGCCTGCAGATGATCACCTGTCGATAATCGCTCGGGTTCGGGCGTTTTCGCCCGCGTTCGGGCCCCGGGGCCCTCGCAGATCGATCCAGCGCGGGAGGTGCCGCCGAAATATAGGGTCTGGGACTCCAGTCATGCTTTCTCTCGGGGGGGGGCCTCGGGAAGCTCAAAGCTCGGCGAAGAATGTGCCCTTGCGCTTCCTGGAGCCGGATGTCGTTCTCGTGCAGGCCTCGGGAGCAAATAGCGACCACGCGTGCTACATTCGTCGGTCAACGCCTCCCCCTCCCCCAATGCTCGAAGTCGGCGGTGGGCCTGATGGGTTCCGCTTCGACCGCAGTCGCCCCCGCGCGTGCCAACTTTGAGTCTGGGGGAGCGGTGGAGTGTCCACCAATTGTTTCCCCCTGCCGTGTGCGTGAGGAGGAGGAGGAGGAGGAGGAGGAGGAGGAGGAGGAGGAGGAGGAGGAGGAGGAGGAGGAGGAGGAGGGTCGGCCCACTGGCCCAGGCGTGCTGCGAGACACCAGGTGGGACCCCCAGCGCGTGCTGAAGTTCCTGTTCAAGCTGCAGAAGGCGCGGCAGATCCTCCGCAACCAGGCCCGCCCCGCCCCGCACTTCGAGGGAGGAGGCTCGGGCCGGACGAAAGGGGGGGATTGGGAAAGGGGGGGTTACGAAATTTGCTGCATGCAGCTGGTTTCGGCCTCACCGAGGGGCCAATTCCTCGATACATGGGCGCCTTCCGGCGCCAGGCGACGCCGGGAAAATCAGCTACGTGAGCTGATTCTCAAACCCCCCCTTTGCTATCCCCCCCTTTCGCCCGACCCGAGAGGCACGATGGTCATGACCATGACCCAGACGTCGCGGGATCTCTTCGATGCAGGTCCTGGTCGGGGTCCATGCCGGCCGTCTCCGCCTCGCGAGGACGAACTGGATGGCCAAGGTGGGCGCTGACCGGGATGAGTGGTGACCGAGATGGACTCAGGAGGGGACAAAAACACACAGACACAATTAATTGTGGATTCCCCAGAAAATATGCGAAAGCATGGGAAGTGGGGGGATGACAAAAACCCAGAGAATTATTTGGAGGGTGAAAGTGGGGGTCGGGCGCAGGGTCCCGGCAATGATGTTTTTTAAAGTCATGAATGGGCGATGCGTCCTCGATTGCTGTGTTCGGCGGGGGAACTAATTGAAGCCCCCCGCCTGCACCCGCGCGCGAGACTTGAGGGGAAAGGAAGCAAGGGGGCGGGGGGCTCGGGAAAGGCGACGAAGGCAACGTGCGCTAAGGGCGCAACAAGAACAGGCTGGAACACACGAAAGCGGTCGGGTGAGTGTCGAAATCTGCCCAGCCAATCTGGCATGCGGAACACTGCGCCACAGTTTTGGGGATCTCGAAGGCCGGGGCAAAATGTGAATTCACATTGTGGGGAAAAGCAAAATGTGAATTCACATTTTGGGAAAAAGGAAAATGTGAATTCACATTTTGGGAAAAAGGAAAATGTGAATTCACATTTTGGAATTTTGTGTAGGATTCTTTATGAAGGGGCCAGAATGTGAATTCACATTTTGGGAAAAAGGAAAATGTGAATTCACATTTTGGGAAAAAGGAAAATGTGAATTCACATTTTGGAAGAATCGCGGGGCCCATCCCAAATCTGTCTTGGGGGTCGAGAAGTCATCGTTTGGGAACATACGCGATCATCAACCGCACAATCAAGACACACTTGCACTCCACTTGGCCGACCCACGCGCAATATGCAAGGACGCCCGCACGCATGAACGATAATGGATGGACGGCGCGTGCGCCCGCGCGGGCAACGCGCGGGCACGAATGACTGGCCACCAATGACCGCCAGCATTGGATGCCAATCGTACCCGATCACATACATGAGCGATACATTGAGCATACATGGGCCATTCAGCCCCCATTGAAGACCCCCTGTTGCAGACCCCCTCTTTCACCCTCCAAATTATATGGGAAAATATGGGGAATCCTCTTCTTTGTGCGCATTTATTTGTGTGTCCTTGGGCCCCTTGATGGACGATGGCCAGGATCGGCGCCGCGCTCACTCCTGGTCCTGGCTTTCGTCGCCTCCCCATCCGGCTCTGCCCACCTCTGGGGTCGGACAGAGGCACGCCCAGCCTGCGACGTCAGGGCGGGAGCGGCGTCGCAGGATGGCTCGGGGGCCCCCCGGCCACCCTCGCGCTGCGGGCAGAACTCACAGCTGGGGGTTCTGGTCCGTCTTCGGCGCCCCTCGACACGCCATACAGTCGGGGCCCTGAAGAAGGAACCCTTTTGGTTGGGGAGGGGCTCCGTGTTCCTTGATTGCTTTCACAGTTTGCCTTGGGTTTCTTTTGGTTTTCGATGGGACATCGAAGTTCAACTTGTGGATAGAAGGGGCCTCGTTCCTTACTTAGGGTTCCTTGGGTCAACGCTCCGACTGTACACATAAACTTTTGGCGCTCCGCGCGATTTTCTTGGATCGGCGCTTGGCCCCCCCCCCCCCCGGGGCGCCTCCGGCGCCACCTCTGGCGCGCTCCGCGCGCCAGGGAGGGGGGTCCGGCGCAGATCCCCAAAAATCCGCGTGGAGCGCCAGCAGTTTATGTCTTATGTTTACGTTTTATGCTTTATGGCGCTTTGTGGCCTTCAGCCCTCAGCGGGCCTCAGGACCGTGACAAAAAACTGCCCAGGGCGAACAACATGTGTCCTGGGGGAGGGGCCCACTCCTGCGGGGGTGCACGCTGCGACAAAGAAAAACACAGCGTCGGAGTTCGGGGACTTGGCATCGCTCGGACGTGTGCATTTTTTCTCGGCGAGAACCATGGAGGACCATCCTGGACCATCGAGCAACAAAAACCACGCACGAAACCGAAAAATGCACGGGACATGGAGATCCGAGCGACGGCAAGGGCAGGACGGAAGGAGGAGCCCTTCGGGGGGGCAGCGAGGCCGAGGAGAGACCTCGGGGACGGGAGGAGTGGAACGCGCTTGCCCGGGGCACGTTGCTTGCCCCGGGAACTGTGGCGACGGGACCACGTGGGGGGGGAGGATTGCAACGAAGGATTGCAAAAAAAACGAAGGATTGCAAAAAAACGAAAGATTGCAAAAAACGAAGGTTTTTTTGCAATCCTTCTTTTTTTTGCAATCCTTTTTTTGCAATCCTTCGTTCAAGTGTGGGCGGCCGGCGCGGCAGCTGTCCGTGCAGCTCCTGCGCGGCGCCGGCGGGAAAGCGGGCACGGGCATCCCAGTGCGGCAGGGCCGGCCGCGCAGCCTGTGGGCCCCTCGGGAGAGCACGCCGGCGCCCTTGGGTGCTCGCGGTGGGGTTCCCGGGGCCCCGGAAGCGGAGTGTCCGGGCTAGTGCAGGCGCACGCTGCCCGCACACAGTATGCCGGCGAGCACTCCGGACGGCAGTGCCTCGACGACTGTGGAGCAGTGGCGAGGCGTCGCGGCTCGCCTATATAGCCCTACCAAGCAGTGTTCTAAGGACCTTTCGTGGTTTGCACGAAGTGTTCTGAGTGCATTTCTGGTTGAGACTGTCTTGTTTTAACACACATTGGGTACATGTTCTAAGAACATTGTTGTGGTTCTTAGACCATTTTGGGGTTCTAAGAACATTCCGTGGCAGGACTGTAAGAATGCCAGGGCGGTCGGTCCCTGCTCAAGACTGGAGGTGCCCAGCATTGTGCATGCTATATATCTGTCCGCGCGCTGGTCGGCGCATAACTTGCGATGCGATGCTCGGAACCTCCTCCGACGAGCTGTTCCGGTGCGCAGCACGCGCAGCCGTTGCTGCATAGCTGGAGGGCGCCAGGATGCTGCATTGCCGCCATGGCCAAGGAGGGGCGCCGCCGTTCCGAGCGCGGCCCTCGTCCGCGAGCAAGGAGGGATGAGCTGGTGCTGCAAGGCTGGCCCCTCTGACATCTGGGTCTCTTGGCCCCTGGACGGGAATGGTGGCGGGGTGGGGGATGTGACGGG